ATACATATTGTTTCTCAAAACCATATTTTTCAAAAGTTTTTCAAAAACTTTGCCCATTAGGATTGATTTAGAGAATCTTGAAATATTGAGGACTCATTTGAGTTTTGGGATTAATTGAATTGCATACATCTGTTTTAAAATTGCAGGTTATCCTATCTATTCCGATTTCCTTCACCATGTCAAATCCTAAACGTCCTAGGTCTTCATCTAGTCGTTCTAGTCGTCAACCAAATCCTCCTCCTATTCCTCAAAATCCTATTCCAAATCCTGATCCCAACTTGACTATCCAAAATTCGTGTTTCAATCATCCTGGGTCTAGAAATCACCGATATTGGTATTATCAATATTTCGATTCTTATAAAATCCGGGAAGAACGTATTCCTTCTCGTCAAGCTATGATAGCTATCGATTTTAAATATCTTCCCATTTTACAAGAATGGAAATTTGATAAACTATTTGATCTTGAACCCATCGTTTACCATCAACTTGTTCGTATATTATACTCTAATGCCGTTTGTATTAAAAATCAAGATGAAACCGAAACCATAGGAATTCGTTCCTACCTCCTAGGACAATTCTTATATATTGACCCGACATATATAGCCAATACATTTGGATTAGATAATGATGGTATTTCGAATGAAAAACAAATTTTAGGTTCTCGTTATAAAAGAAGAGATAGTGCGAGTGTCTTAGACCTACATGAGCGTTTTCTTCATCTAATGATTTCTTGGTGGTTTCGACCATCCGGAGGTCGTTATTCTACTCTTAGAGCTTTGGATCTTTGGTGGTTACATTGTTTCGAAAACCGTATTAAAATTAACCTACCTCAGATTTTTTTTGCTGAAATTGTTGAAACCGTAAATCTTGTTCCTAACAAGAAACTTTGTTCATCTCTAGTTTACGGTTACTTTTTGAGTAATATGTTTTCCAAAGCTGGGCTTAGAGTCGGTCTAGATTCCGTTTTTCCTCTTAAGAAACAAATAAATATTCTTTCTTTAACGAGAGCGGGATGGGTAAAGAACAAAGAAACCGGTGAATGGGTTCGATCTTCTACTCCGGGAGCTAGTTCTTCACAAGCTCCACCCGAAGCTGACGAAGATCCCGAGCTTGAGCAATTAATGCAAGATATTGATGAAGCCGAAGATGAGCCTGATCAGCCCGAAGAGCAGCCCGAGGAGCAAGCACAACAAACGCATCAAATGCCTCCATATTTTCAATCCTTTATGGAGACATTCGATTTCCGATACGCTACCATGGACTCGCGCTTTTCCTCTATAGAGTCTCATTTATCCACAATGGGAGCTCAACAATTAGAGATTCTTCGGGAGATGCGTGCAAACAATGAATCAACCAACGCTCGTATCAATGAACTAACTCATGAAATGGCTGCTATGCGAGCCCGTTTTCCTCCTACCGATCCGGATGCTTGATTTTATGTTTAGCTTTAAAACTTTGAACAAAATGAATATTGTTTCAACATTTTGAATTGTTTGATTTTGTGGATTGTTGGATTTTGGATTTATGGATAATGTGAACTTATATGTTTGGTGTTTTATTCATTTTTGCATCATTTACATCATCATTAGCAATATGACCAATTTTGCCATATCACATTATTTATAAATATTGATTTATTAAACTAATGACTAACCTCTCTTTTGATTGTGATCTTAGCAGCTTAAGCTTATAATTAATAAATCAATTGGCTAAATAATTTCAAAACCTTGTTTTACAATGTCTTTTTGATTTAACAAAAAGGGGGAGAAGAATAGGTGTTAAATGTTTTACATGATAAATTGAAGAAGTGTTAAAGTAAGGGGGAGTAATTTCAAAACTTGATTTCAAAAATCTTAAAATTACTAAAATGTTTTGTTATATCAAAAAGGGGGAGATTGTTGAAACATTTTAATATTTCGATATAACAATTTAAGTTAAATGGATTTTAAGATTTTCCAAATGATTTTCTAAGTATATTCGATATAACTATTCGAATATCAAAACATTACTCCAAATATTTCAAAAATCATTTTTAATCCTTACTTAAGTGTAAAATTAAGTTTTAATCATAAAACAATTTCAAAATAATTTTACAAAGTATTTCGAACCAATTCAAAGCCAAAAATTTTAGATTGCTCAGAGGGAACCGATTCCCCCCAATAGGAGGAACCGATTCCCCCCTGAATGGTTTGGCTCCGAGATTTCCAGAATGCTCGGAGGGAACCGATTCCCCCATAGGAGGAACCGATTCCCCCTAAACATTTTTGTTCCGAGAATTCCAGTATGCTCGGAGGGAACCGATCCCCCCCAAGGGGGTACCGATTCCCCCCTGTTCAACGGTCGAAATATTTGAATTTTACACTTAGGGAACCGATTCCCTATGAGGGGGAACCGATTCCCCCCACGCTCCAAGCTGTTTTATTAAATGTTTTCACACTAAAACTGCAATAATATCTTCTCTAATCATCCCCAACGTTCAGAAGTGATCCAAGGTGTATTTAAGCAAGCTTAGAAGCCATTGATCAGCAACAAGAAACATCAAGCAACTAGAATCAAGAGAGAATCAAAGAGAAAGCATCAAACCTCAAGTTTGAGCATTTCAAGCCTATTTTCATTCAATATTCATTTTGCTTTCAAGAACACTTTTTGTGCTCAAATTGTATTCATCTTTGAGTGTTCTTTTCTTTGTTCTAGAATTGTGCAAACATCTTACCTTGTGAGGTTTTCTTGTAAGTTTGCAAATTTGTAATCTTCTCTTTGAGAAAAGAGTGTTCTCAAGAGTTGGGGTATACTCTTGAGGGAATTGTAAGGTTATCTCTTTGGCCTCAAAAGAAAGAACAAATTAGTGAATTTGTTGGAAAATCCTTAGTGTGGATAGCTAAGGTAGTGGATGTAGACTTTGTTTGAGAAAGTCGAACCACTGTAAATCGCTGTGCAATTCCTTTCAATTTTCTGCAAAAGCTTCCACAAATTTTTTATTGCCAATTCACCCCCCTCTTGGCCAATTTCGTCATTCGATTAACTCAACAGCATCAATAATCTAGAAAGATTAGTCAATTGATTTGATAGAAGCTTTCTTTTTCTAATCAAACAATATGTAGATACAGAGACATATATAAGATTTTATATTAAAAAAATAAACGTATAAAATTTTAGAGGATAAAATTGAAGTCAATTAGAATGACATAAAAGTTACCAATGACATCATTACAACTAGAGATGGGCATAGAACCTGACCCGACCCAACTTGATCGGGTCAGTTTTTTTTAAAAAATTTCGGGTTTGGGTCTAATTTTTTTAAAGGTGATGTTTAGGTTTAGTTAGATTCGGGTTTAAGGTAAAAATACATTACCCGAAAAAATATAATTTTACATTATATATTTAGAAATAATTACAATAATATCCATTTATATTTTTTCAATTAAATCACTATTTATATTGAATAAAAATAATATTTTTATTATTTTGGTTCCATCGTCGCTTGCTCCCATTGGGCCTTAGTATCTCGCACCTATTTATATCATTTAGTAATTAAGGTTATTATTCAATTAGATTAATTAATAGTCTATTAATTTAATGAGATGGGACATCAAATCTTTTAATTAAGTTTATAATTTTGAATCATGATGTTTTAAATTAAAAATATTTAAATTAATCATATATTTTTTATAATAAATCTATATAATATTTTATGCGTATTAATCAACCAATAAAACGAACAATAATAGTTAAAAAGGGTAAATTTCATGTTTAGTACATAAATTGTTAGTTTTGGTCCATTTTAGTATCAAAACTTTCAATTTTTCAAAACCACACCTAAAGTATAGTTTTTTTTTTCATTTTTGTACCCGCCATTAAAACTTTAATTTTTGTTTCATTTTAGTACTATGTTTAAAATTCAACGTTATGTTTTGAAAAAAATGAAAGTTTAGGTGCTAAGAGGGGCAAAAACTAATAGTTTAGATACTAAACACGTTAAGTTTTTAACGACGGATACTAAAATGAAATGAACCTAAACATTAAATATAGTTTTAAAAAATAAAAAAATTAAGCATTAAAACCATGGTTATCAAAACCGTACCGGGCCGGTCGGTTCAACCGGTTGAACCGTGAACCAGTGGCCTGTCCGGTCCGGTTAACTTCCAAAATCAGTTTTTGTAATGAACCGATTGAGAACCGGTAGAATCGGCTGAAAAACGATGTGAACCGTCGATTCTGTTTTTTTCTTTTTAAAAAAATTGAACCAAACGACGTCGTTAGTTAAACAAGCCGAGTCGAACTTGAGTATTGCTGAGCTCGACTCGAACTCAAAAACTTTAAAAGTAAACTCAACTCGACTAAAAAACTCACGAGCTAAAAATTATCAAGCTCAACTCAAACTCAAAATATAATATTGAAACTTGAACTCGAAAAGGCTCGAACTAAAAAAAAATTTAGAAGCTCAATTGAAGTCTGAAACTCGAGCTCGATTGAAGTGAAAGAATAGTTCGCTATGTGCTCACCAAAAGGTTCCATGATTTTGAATGTCAAATTACCTCTATTATTTATAGAAGTCAGTTGGGATGCTCTTCTATGTTTCTTAGCCACGTGAGATTGTTTTGTTCTCTTATTTTTGCTCTTCTATGCTCTTTAGACGTTTTTCTGTAGTGATGTATATATTAATATTGCTTTGAATATTATGTAATTTTTTTTAAAAAAAAATATTATTTTATATAATCCGGTTCAACCCGATTGAACCACGGTTGAACCAATGAACCAATACTTTCACCGGTTTAAAGTTTGATCTAAATTTAAAAATACTGATTAAAATAGATCAAAAATGATAATTTAAATATTAAATACGTAGCTTAAACTACCGTTTTCATTATGAATATGTATAATATTTAATTTACATTAATCGACCAATAAAACGAGAATGACTAAAAAATATAATTGAGGACACTAGAGTGCGTCCTCGAAGCCCATAGGCTTTTAATCACTAGCCCAAATAAGGGCCTTGTTCTAATATAAACCCTAGCTGCTCTTCGCATTTGCTTACTCCGTCCTTTATAGTGTTTTCCTCCGCCGTTCTTAGTCACAGAAAAGCTCGGAAGAAGCTTTAGGAGTTGCAGAAATGGTAAATCTCAAAACCCAATGTCACTGAATCCCCTTCTGTTACATCGTCACCTTAATTCTATGTTTTTTTGCTTTGGGTGAATTTTTCTCAATATTTTATCTTATATTCGTACTGTTTTCCAGATTTTAATTAACGTTTTAGGAAATCGATTTAGCCGACGAACACTTGAGAATGAATACTTGGTTTAGAATTTATATAATATTTGTAAAATTTTTATGATTGGTATTTATACATTGTACTAAACAGGTATTACATTGAAAGATTTGTCTAATTCTTAATTCAGCTAAAAGAATTAATTTTTGTGTTGCTATGCGAGATGAGTAACTTCGTTGTTAAATACTCAAAAGTGTTGCTTGAACAATTTCTCACTGATTCTAGTGGTATAATTGGAAGCCTTGTTATGGATCAATGCCCTTATTTAGAAGGGTTTATTTTTTATATTTCTATTAACTTTGTTGTTAAATGTAGGGTCCCAAGAGAGGTGGAAAGGTGGCAGTGTCTGCCAAGAAGAAACAAGTAAATTTTCATTAATTTCTTTACATCGAAACGCTAAACCCTTCAAGTAACACTATTGTGTTCTCACCTTCTGTTTGTCATTTTGATTTTTCAATATTAGGAGAAGGTTGCGAATCCGTTGTTTGAGAAGCGGCCGAAGCAGTTTGGTATTGGAGGGGCTTTACCTCCTAAGAAGGATCTGCATCGATTTGTGAAGTGGCCCAAGGTTGTTCGCATTCAGAGGAAGAAGAGGATCCTCAAGCAGCGGTTGAAGGTTCCACCAGCATTGAACCAGTTCACCAAGACACTCGACAAGAACTTAGGTTTGCGCTAAAATCTTTGCTTCTTTCCTATTTATGTATTAGTTTTACCATGTTTGATATGAATGGATTCTCCCGTTACAAACTTACAATCTTGTTCCGTGTTAACTTTGCATGGATGCTTGTATGGTATGAGTTTGGGGAAATGGATTTGTAATGTAAGAAGTTAAATGTATCAGTTCTGAATGTTCTCCCTATAATTTGTTTATTTGAGAAAAGGAATGTTTGTGGAAATTGGTGAATGTTGGAGAATTCCCACATTGACAACATGGTAAAGGTGACTTTTTGAATTTGTGATAGGTAATTGAAGATGGTGTTTATCGAATTTATAATTTTTTGGACTCGAGTTATTAAGTGAATCAGCACAAACTTGTTTGTTACTGTTTATATTTATACTTATTCTGCTATGTTTGCTCTTGCATTTTGTTGATTACCTGCACATTTTTTAATCATTTTTTATAGCCTCTTGCATATGTGTACCGTGCACACTCTCACTGTAGATTATCTTTTGTAACGGTTGGGATGAAGTTTAATCGTTATTGGGTCATTTTGTGTCCTCTTACAGCAACAAATCTGTTCAAGTTACTCCTCAAGTACAGGCCAGAGGACAAGGCGGCCAAGAAGGAACGTCTCCTGAAAAGGGCCCAGGCTGAGGCTGAAGGCAAAGCACCCGAGTCTAAGAAACCAATTGTTGTGAAATATGGTCTTAACCACGTTACATACCTTATCGAGCAGGTCACCCTTTAATTTCCGTGTATTTCATCAGTTTAGCAACTTCAGTACTGTACATTTATCATGTTGAAGTACTTAAAAATAATATTTCTTTTGTAATATCCTCTGCAGAATAAGGCACAATTGGTTGTTATTGCTCATGATGTCGATCCCATAGAGTTGGTAGTGTGGCTCCCGGCTTTGTGCAGAAAAATGGAGGTCCCTTACTGCATTGTGAAGGGAAAAGCACGTTTGGGATCGGTAAATTTCTTCTACATTTCCTTCATTTTCTGCCAAATTACAGAGCTAATGAGAAGGTTACTTATTTGTGTTGGTGTACTACTGCAGATTGTCCACAAGAAAACTGCATCTGTCTTGTGCTTGACCACAGTTAAGAACGAGGATAAGATGGAATTTAGCAAAATCCTCGAGGCAATCAAGGTAAGAATATGCCTGCAATATATTCGAAGTAATTTACGTTGAGAAGTTATACGTCATTTTATCCACTTGTGCTGTACATTGCAGGCCAACTTCAACGACAAGTACGACGAGAATAGAAAGAAGTGGGGAGGCGGAATCATGGGCTCCAAGTCGCAAGCCCGGACCAAAGCAAAGGAGAGGCTTCTTGCGAAGGAAGCTGCACAGAGGATGAATTAAGAGGAACGACACACCATTAGTCATCGTTCGTGTTTTGATTTAATAGTCTCGTGTAGTAAGTTACAATCAATTTTCGACTTGTTCTACTCTTTTCCCTTACCGACATTGATATCTATTTTTGTGGTTGAACTTTCTAAATGCCCAGTACCTGCCGCTTGTGGTGCACTTCTGTGATTTTCTTGAACTATCAATCAATGTTTTGTTTTGCATGTTAGTCAAATTCTTCTAGTTTTGGACCGATAATCCCATCGGTTCGAACTTGCATGTAATTATGTACAAATCACATATACAAGGCTTAACCTATATGGGGAACAACACACTACATTTCCCCCACTAGGGAACAAAGATTTATGAACAAGATTTAATGAGTTTGAAGCTTTGGAAACTCGGTATTTTGAAGAGGTTCCCAAACAGGAAGCTTCTGGTTGTCTCTTTGGGGCACAAAAGGGAGTGCCTTTAACCTTGAGGCAGCCTTGTCCTATTTCATTTTGGATCAAATCCACAGTTTTGGGGTCACAACACTGTTCCCTCCCACATCGGGCACCTGATAAAGCGAGTTTAAACCAGTAACAGGCTAACTATAATTAAAACATTAAAGGATCTGACCAAAATATATGATATTCTTGTAAGGTTTAAGGAAATAAATTAGATATAAAATTATTTTTTAATGATTTCTTTGATATTTAGCCATAGTTTAAAAATAAATTAAATATTAATTTTTTTAATATTATCATATCATCTATTTAATGGACAGTTGAATGATCTTTTTTTACAAATCGATAATATTAATTACAATTTTGTTAAAAATTAATAGGGGTGTAAATGAATAGAGCGTTTGGTAAACTGTTCGTATAACGTTTGTTTATTAGGATAAATAAAAGAGTATAAACAAAATTTTCATGTTCGTTAAATAAACGAACGAATACGAACAAATATGTGTTCGATTCATTTATGTGCACGAACAAACTCATTCAGAAGTTTGTTTAATTTTCTTGCATATTAAATATTAGTGAAATTACATACTAAATTGAATACATGATAAAATTTAGAGGTTAACTATGAACCCTAAAAGATTTAAGCATCAGTTGTGTAGTTTACCATTTCCCCTAATTATAACACCAAAAACTCTTTTCTCCTATAGCTTTTCCCTTCCAGCCCGTTGTTCGTCTCTAAATGTTTACGGATATTTATAAATACTGTTAGTGTGTTTTAAGATTGTTTTTTTGTTATTGTGGATGTTATATAAGTTTTATCACGTAGTTTTGTTGAATTTGTTCTTTTCGATTTATTTGGTAACATTTTTAAACATATATAATTAAATATGTTTGCGAACGCTAAATGAATATGTTAAATGAAGACTAACCGAGCGTTAAACGAACATGTTCGTGAACGTTAAATGAACACGTTCGCGAATATTTAAATGAACTTGTTCACGAACATTAAACGGACACGTTTGCGCACATTAAATCAACGAACACGAGCACCTTCAAAAATGGATAAACGAACACGAACATGATAAATTAAACAAATACGAACCGAACATTAACACCTTAAAAAACAGAAGAACACAAACATAGTCTTGTTCGTTCAAACTCGATTCATTTACAACCCTAAAAATTAATAATATTAATGATTAATTTTAATTTTTTTTTAAGTTTTAATGATTGAAACAAAAAAAAACTCAAATATTAATAATCTAAAGGTTTAAGTATACAAAAGGTGTCTAATTTATATTTTTTTTTTAGTTTAGTGTCTATCGTTGATTTTGTTACGCTTTGGTGCCTAACGTTTCATTTCATTATTCAAAATGGATCAAGCCGTGACGGACCATTAAGTTTAACCGTTAACCCATTAAAAACGCCACTTGACATATTTTTTAATATTAAAAAATGATTTATGAAAACAATAAATTATTTCGTTCAAGTTTGGTGTCTAGCATTTCTAGATCAATGGTGGAGAAGAGAAAGAGAGAGAAATAAACGTTAAACACTAAACTGGAACGAAATAATTTCTTATTTTTCATAAATCGTGTTTTAATATTAAAAAATATGTCAAGTGACATTTTTAATGAATTAATGGTTAAACTCAATGGTCCGTCACGACTTGACCTATTTTAAATAACGAAATAAAACGTTAGACACGAATCCGTAACGAAATAAATATTATACACTAAACTGAAAAAAACATAGTTAGATTGGGCACTTTTGTACACTTAAAGCCTACCCTAAATAATATATAAACATCATCTAAGCATATTTCCAAATTTGGTAGGAATAAAGACTCACGCCATTTGCAAAAAGCGTCAACGAACATAAGTCTGATTGATCGTCCATCAAAAGAAACCATGGCAAATCCTCATATTGAAGCATTCGAATATCTCGATGTCCTCACTAAAACCGGTAAAAAAACCCGGCATTTCCAAGCCCAGGTACGTCTCTTAATTGTTTTGTAATCTTCACTTGTTATTTGTAGCTTCTGTAAATTGGGTCATCAAAACTTTTGTCAAATAGTATGCTGGTTCCTTCAAAATGGTAGTGATAAGTCATTTTTTTATTTGTTTTTTTTAAATTTCTTTCAATCAAACCCTAAGTTTTAGTGGATGATTAAATTGAATGTTTTTAAGTGGGTGGGTCGGGGTTGCTTTTGGTCATTGAAATCGGAACTGGGAATTGAAAAGTTGCAAGCTAGAGCTAGGGATACATGCATTCGATATGAAAGATATTATTTTAAGTATAGTTTGGTAAAGTTTTGATTATATAACTATTATTGTCAACCAGGGAAAAAGTTTTGATTATATAGAGTTTGGTCCTGATTTCTGATTTTCTTGGACATTTTCAGAAGATATTGATTTTCATACTCTTAACTAAAACATAAGTTGTGAATTGTACATAGATGACATGTGTATATAGCTTTGAACAATGAGAGTTTGGTTATTCATTTCCTTTCATTAGATTGAAAGTTGTGTATCTTGCTTCTTTTTATTCTTTTCATTCAATTTATCTGGTCATATAATTAATTGGCTCTAATGGTTATCTTGTTATGATGTACACATTGCTTATGATTTCTATACAGTTGTTTCTTGATATGTGACGCATTGTGTGTTCCTTGCAGGGGAGATGTCCATCGTGATGGGGATTACCATCGAGCAGTCCATGTTTGGATTTTTTCTGAGAGTACGCAGGAATTGCTTCTCCAAAAACGTGCTGACTGCAAGGACTCCTGGCCAGGGTTGTGGGATATCTCCAGTGCTGGCCATATATCTGCTGGTGATTCATCACTGATAACAGCACAGTATGTGAATCCAACTTGACAAGTCTATGATGCTGTTTCTTTCATAAGGCTTTCTTATGCATTTGAAGTGCTGTTTCTGTTTGTAATCTTTCTGTCTGTTTCATGCAAAGATAGTCTCCCCATATTCTTGTTTGTCAATTCTACTCTGTTGTTGTATACACTTGCTAGATTTGGTTAATATATTTCATTTAAATATCTAATTGATTGTTTTCTAACTGATGTTAAACTAGTGGTCCCTAAAGTCGCCAAAAAACCTTTTTGTTGGGGAGTGAGGACATCTGAGTCATTTTTTCTTTTATATTTTTCTTTTTAAATCCCAATCCTTGAGCTCAACTTGATACACAGTTACATATTAGCACTTTTTAAAATATTCTGTCTTTCCTTTTATCAGTCTAAGGTAAGTCATTCAAGAAATTCATTCTTTCATTTTCTTTATTAGTGACCTATTATAACTATAAATTCTGAAGTAAAGGTCCAAAATTAATGTTGACTATTATTCACAATGTTCAATTTATTTAGAGCTAATTTTATCTTATCTTATGTTTACCTTAGTGATGCATTCTTAAAGTACTGCGCTTTAATGGTAGTGTATAGTTTTGCTCCCCTATTTTTTAGTAATAGGAACTTAGTTTGTCTCAGAAAGTAAAACGATTAAAAGAAAGAACATAAAAGAAAGGAGAGAAAAATCTTTGTCCAACCCAAAAAGATAAAAAAGGAAACCTTTTTATATTTTGAACTTTTATTCAATCATCTAAAATCAAATATCAAAGTTCGCAGGGTTTAAGGATACTAAAGCCAAAATATCTAAAATTAATTGTATGGAAAAAATTAAATTTAAGTTTTAATGGCTTTCGGAAAAGGGAAATAGAAAAATTTATTTGTACCAGATATTGTATCATGGTTAATTTTTGTAACCTTTTTTAAATGACAATATTCCCATATAAGCATCTTATTTGCAGACACTTTTTAGACTGCATGTCCAAAACTTTATGCAGATGACCAGCCTGAGACTTGGATACATAGCGGAAACTAAGAGAGATAGGTTTTTGGTTGTCATTAGCCAAGATAGTTGTTATTTTTTTAGCATCTAATTGCAGTGAGTAATAACATTGACATTAGCCACGATAGTTGTTATTTTTTAGCATCTAATTGCTGTGAGTAATAACATTGTCATCAATGATTGCTGGTGGCCTAAAATGGTAGACTCGAGAATAATGGGATGCCCAGTGGATGGTAGCTAGCAAAATGTGTGGTCAACTCCTGGTAATAGTAATTTAAATCCTCCGAGAAATCACCTAATAATTTTCCAAACATAAAATCACCCTTTCCCCTAAAGTCTAAGCTTGATTTTTTTTGACCGAGCAAATAGATCATTCGACTAAATCTCTTGTATTACCAAAAAACATAGGAGAACATGAAAATACATTCTTCAAGCTATATTTTGCCAAAAAAAAGCCTTTTGATATTGTCAGCTAACAGCTTGGACCAACCATCGCAGGAAAATTGGTGATTACTTTATATTTGTGAATTAAGACTGATTGGGTTTAGTTCCTACTAAAATGAAGATACTCAACATTGAGTGTTTTCAGAAACATGAAATATGACTGCCCTTATTTAGCTTAAATGCACCATCATGGTAATTTCCATGATTCCTTTACCAAATTTGTGTGTTTGCACTATCAATTGTTTGAATCCTTTTAATATTGAGCTGTATTGTCATCTGCTTTGTGATTATAATGAGCTTATGAAGTGGTTTTACTGACTCCCTTCTACTTTAAATCTTCAAGACCTCATGGTATTTAATACGAGAAATACAATTTGAATTTGAGCACATGGCCCTTCTATTCCTAACAACAACTATCTGGAAGATGATCTTATTGCCCGTTCCTCTGTTAGTAACTTTCAACACAAGAAATTCCCTGGAGATCAGTATCTATTTTTTTCTCCCTTGCTAGGCCCAATTTTTCAATCTTCCCCCACATTTCTTACTTGGTGAACATATTACTGTCAGAAAGTTTTCCCTTTGTGGTTGATCTGATTTTAAAACACAGTGCTTGCAAAATATCTTATTGATTCAGGAGGGAACTTCAAGAAGAACTAGGGGTGATCCTCCCAAAAGATGCATTTGAGTTGATCTTCGTTTTTCTTGAAGAATGGTTAGTTGATAAAATAATTTTTTCCTTTGGTAATATTTACTCTTCTCCTTGTAATGTAATTGCTGCGGCTGAATAGACGACTATGATTCTTTGTTGGTGATCTTGGCAACATTTTCTTTGGTTTTTATGCTTTGCTAGAACCATTGGTGAATTAATTTATGGTGCTAATGCTATTGCTGTCTTTCTGAATTCAAGTCTATTTTGTGTTTGTCAGGGTTCAATTTTTTCAATAAACAATAATCATTTGGAATCTATTCTTATCCAAAAAAATAATCATTTGGAATAAATTTACTAGGAAAAGCATTGTTATAATTTTCGTTGTAAGTTCATAGTTGTATTGAGTTTCTTTTTCTTAGAAAAGAGTGTTTTGATATATTGTTTTTTCTGAGGTATGCTGCATCAATCCCATGCAATGAGTAACACCATCTAGGCATTAAGTTTTTACCTGGTCTGCATCACTTTCAATCTATCATTATTAACATTACAATTCCATGTTTATTTTCTTTGAATTTTCTGTTTAATTGATTAATTTCAGTATTGTTAGTATGGTTTAGTGGTTTTGTGATGTTTTAATTTCCTTTTGACTTAAAAAATGCTGTTTCGTCTGATTGTAGCGTCACAAACAATGGCAAATTCATCAATAATGAATACAGCGATGTATACCTAGTAACAACTCTAGATCCAATTCCTCGAGAAGCCTTTACACTTCAGGTAAGGAAGTTAATCATTATTCTCAGTTGAACATATCAACTCATTCAATGTTATTTGATATTTATATACCAAATTCTGTAGTTGTTTTCTGACAAGTACTTTCGATGTCTATAAAAAGTTGAGATGAACAATAACAGTCAGAAGTATCATTCAACATTTCATTGGTTTTCTTTTCTAATTTTCTTTTTGATGAAGTATGGATTAATTTTCTTTCCATTCGAAAACTGTCCAGTGATGACGAAGTTGGCAAGAGTGAAATATCTAGGGTTAGGTATGCTTTATCATGTCAAGTTTAAACGTCACTTGTAAGGAATGAACATATCGAATTTAACTTCAACACTGAAGCCCTTCTACATGGAAGAGATACCAATTCCTGCTTGTATTTCAATCTGTTTTCAAGCTGCTACTTTTGTCACTAATATTTGATTAGAAAGTTCCTTGCTGATCTTAAGTGATCTCTGAGAAAAAATGTCATTGTCAGTGATGAATAAGTGGAAACCAGTTGAACTTCTCTCTCTCCCTCCCCCCCCCCCCCAAATAAAATAAAATAACCTTCCAAAAAATTTTGGACTGCTGAAGCATAAGTACAATTTAACTTTTGGTGCCTCTTTTAATGTTTGATCACACGTATTTGTTAGAAAATCCATTTTTTATGGTTAGTTTGAGAACCTATCAGGCATGCACAAATTTGCAGCAGAATCCCTATTTTTATGTATATTATTATAGCTTTCGGGTCTTTATTCTTTGGACTGAGGTCTCATTATATGGATTTCCATCTTTACCGTGATTGTTCTCCTTTGAGTTGGTTTTATTTAAGGCTGTTGATGGTATGTGGTACTTAATCAATGGTTCATTGTATATTTTTTTACAATCATATATGAAAGTCATGCTTTGAAAATGTCATTGGTGAATGGTAAATAGGGAATAGTGAAAAGTAATGTTTTCTTGCTATAAAACTATCTGAAAATGTGAATGTTTCTTATTAGCTTTTTGTTTGGTGACAGGATACTGAAGTCTCTGATGTAAAATACATTTCTGTTAGGGAATATAGAAGTCGCCTAGCTGAAGCGGATCCTAAATATGTTCCTTATGATGTAAATAAACAATATGGTCTTCTCTTTGATATAATTACAAAAAGGTGAGCTAAGTAGGCCATGATATTTAACAAAATAGTTGTCCAATTCATCTAAATGTCATATTCATGTTGTTGTTAAGATTTCAAATACTTGCCTTAGGTACAAAGAGAACAATGAGGCACGCAGTCAAGTTCTACAAAAGCAACTTCGTCGTTATGCTCCTGTTTCTCTGACTGCAGAGGTTCTTAACTTTCTGCAATTTTAATACTAGCTACTCTGCTTTTCTTGGTTGTTGTAACTACAAATGCATCTCAATAACTTATCTGCATGTTACTGTGTTCCTTGTGGCCAACTTCCGCAATTCATTCAAATATTGTATAAATATAACAGTCATACCTTCCAAGTTCCAAGTATGTATTGAATTATTTACCAAATCTATTCCCTCATTGCAGTTGACAGGGCTTAACGATGCTGACATGGAGGCTTTGGTATTACTTATTAAGGCTGCAATGATTATGGATGAAATCTTTTATGTGCAGGTTGTATTTATGCATATGAGTTGACAAAACATCACACACAAGTACATATATTCACACAAACATCTGCTCTGGTCTTATAGCATGTCTCTTAAGCCACTAGCTAGAATAGCATTGTCAGTTTATTTTGGCATGAAGAAAAGAAAATTTGTGCCATTGAATTGATGGTCCAATGCAAAAATTGACAAGAACAAATGCAATATAACTTTTACTTAATATATATGGAGCTCGGTAAAGATGAGTTGTTTTTTAGTTGGCAAACAGAAGACGAGTTCATAATAACAATGCTTTGCTAGTGTACTATTACAAAATTGGTGGTCTTGATTGATCTCTTTCATAACACTTCTGCAATAGTCTTTGGGGTATCTAATTCACTTGTTGCTTCTCCTGTGAAAAGTTGTTTTCAGTTCAATGAGTCAAGTGGTATTATAGGAGCAATTCAGTGCGTCAGGTGATATTACAGGAAAGTAGGAAAGACATTATGAAGGCATAAGTCTATTATTCCCCAGAAAGTAAATGCAAAAGATAACTTATATTGCTAGATTGGAATGGTAGAATCTTTCTTGAACTAATGGCACGACCTTGAATAAATTTTAGATAAGAATGCATCGTCTAGTAACTTGTGGAAATATATTTGGATAGACATATTTAGGATGCAATTCAGATTAGAAGTATTCATTATCACTATAGGATTTTGAGCTGGTTGCAAAAGGGCGTGCATGATAAATCATTGAAAATGAAAATTTTCAATGTTCTAATGTTTCAAAGTTTACTATTTTAGAAACCACTTAAATAAAATTCCAACAGAGAAGTGTTACAAAACATAGGTATCTAAGATTTACTTAATGAATTAAATCATTAAGGAAAGTTTTATTATTTGATTACATGAGCCATTATGTCCATTTTAGATTTTTACCTTTTCCTTTCACTTCTATTTCTTTTTTTTGATAGGAATGAAAGGCCTCGTTAAAAACCCCCTTCTTGATTAAGGAGCTTGATAATAAGCTCCTTAATCAGCGGAAAGAGGAAAAGAGTGCCTTTAATTTTATTTCTAATGGAAAAATTACATAAGATACAACCATTACACCAATAACAGTTCATAAAACTTAAAAACATCCCCTGGCATAAAAGCCTTTACAATACATAAAACTTACCCCCCTGCCTCCCCATTGCACGCTCTTGGAATTCACCTCACTGAATGTACCTTACTAGTGATGAATGTACCTCACGACAGCCATTGAAAGGAGGAGAAGAGTACATTTTTTTGATAGGAATAACAGGCCTCATCACAAACCTCCTCCTTGATTAACGGAGTCTGATAATCAGCTCCTTAATTTAACCACTCAAGTAGCAACCAAAAACCTAAAACTCAAACAATAAAACCCACTGATAATGCCTAACAATCAACCAATTCCCATCTTTGCTAAACTATCAGCCTCCCCATTACACGCCCTTGGAATCCATCTAACTGAGTGCACCCTATCCGAGAAGAGTGATGAAATCTCCTTAACTAAAGGTAAGATAAAAACAGGGGCCAAAGTTGGGGTCAATATCCATTCCACAGCCGACTTGCAGTCACTTTCCACAATCAACCTTCCAACAGTAACCCAACAAGAAGACAAATAGATTTCAATTCCTCTCTTAATAGCCTTTAACTCCGCAACCTGGGGGGGACCTTGACCTATATTTTCTGAAAAAGTCAGAAGAAAGTTGTTGTTCCAGTCTCTCAAAATACCTCCTATACCTCCATTTGTGCCATCAAGTCTAACAGCTCCATCAACATTCATCTTCAAAAAATCAACAGGGGGTGGGAACCAACGAATCACCTGAACATTCTTAGGATTAAGAGCCTTAATACCATCTGCAAGAGATGGATCACCAATCAGCACATCCTCCTGAATAGGAAACTTAGGGTACTTGGCTAGAAACCATTTAGATAACCTGAATCTAGCAATAAAAAACAGAGACATCCTATCAAGGGGAGCACCTTCGAACACCATTGCGTTCCTAGCTTTCCAAATCGACCAAAATACTACTCCCGGAATAAATTTCCAAATCAACGATTTCCCCCTCAGTTCACCCCAAGAGCTGATCAAAGAAGGTGGGTCCTTTGGAAGTACCAAAGCTATAACCCAAAAGCTTACTATCTTATACCATAGTTCCCAAACTACAACACACAAAATAAATAAATGTTGCACTGATTCCACTTGTTCCTTACAAAAAAGACACAGAATTTCATCCCCTAGCTGCATTCCTCTCTTCACCAATTCTTCTCTCACTGCCACTTTCTGATGAGCTAGCTGCCACAGGAAAGCTTCAACACGAGGAGGAGATAATCCCTGCCACACCCCTTTAAACCACATATCAGAACCCCCCGACACCTTCCCGAGTACATTTCTACAAGATTTTACTGAAAACATTCCATCCCCACTTGCAGACCAAGAAAGAAAGTCTTCTACTGATTCTGTCAGTTTAAAGTCATTCAGTTTTGTCATCAATTCCACCCACTGCTCCAATTCCCAGTCACACAAATTCCTTCTGGTTTCGACGTTCCACACCCAACCATTCGAATCAAAACAACCAAACTCAGCAACCTTACCCCATCTGTTTGTAGACAACACATACATTCCAGGGAAAAGATTTTTTAAAGGAAACTTTTGATCAATAATTAATTTACATCAAATACCAGGCAAATTTTTACAAACAAAAAAACTCAGCACTTAATTTTTCCAAACTAAAACATCTGTACTTGTTTTTTAGTGTTTAAAATTTCAGTATATCAAGTAGCATCTAAAACATTTTGCCGATGTAACCTTGTTTTAATGAATTATTGTTTCCCAGTGTAAATATTGTAAATATTCTGATTTTATGAATGTTTTTATTTAATTTTACTTCATTTTTATTGCCATAAAGCACCTAAATTCGTTCATTTGGAACGGAAAGTATCAATATGGTGCAAAATTTTGCAACCTTAATTGTTTACGCACTCTTAATTTTAAGTTCTTGTATAATTTTACAAAATTTTGCTATCATAATGTAAATGCTTAATTGTGATGGACTGATGGCATGATATTTGCCTTTGTTCTTTTCCACCTCAAACAATCAGGTGTGGTACAGCAATCCAGTTCTAAGAGAATGGTTAAAGGAGCATGCTGATGTTTCTCAATTGGACAGCTTGAAATGGATGTATTATTTAATTAATAAGAGTCCATGGTACGTCTTTCTAATTAGTTACTTGGAGGGAATGTCCCTTTATATTTGATAATTCTTTCTTTATCAACAGGTCCTGCCTTGATGAAAACGAGGCATTCTTAACAACTGCAGATTCAGCAATAAAGCTCCTTCCTGAAGCCACAAAGCCAATCACTGGGTGGAAGGGTGTACAGTACAGAGCTGCATTTCCAATGCTAAAACCTTCTGGTGCAAACTTCTACCCTCCGGACATGGATAAAATGGTAACAGAGAAAATTTATCATGTGCTGCAAAGATTGTTTTTGATTATACATGTGGCTATACGATTATATTTCCAGTTTAGCCATCTAGTATTACTTTTAAAATGGGACAGAGATTGACAAGTTTCATTTTTCATAGGAATTTGAATTATGGACTAAAAGTCTAAACTTGGACCAGCAACAGGATGCAATGAGTTTTTTCACTGTTATTAGAAGGCACAGTCAAGTAAACTGGGACTCTTCGCTTTACAATCATATATTTGATGGAACACATCTTTCATCAGGGTCTACTTGTGATCTTTATAGCATTGCTTACTCCCAAGAGTATCATTCTTTCCTGACAATAGCTTCTGATCTGTTGCATAAAGCCGGGGACCTTGTCGGTTCTCCTAGGTCTGAATATGACAGTTTTTTGTTCTGCCTTGTTTATTATTCATACTTTGAAAGCTTATACCTTCAACTAATATCTCTTTAGTTGTTTTACTTTATAGTTTGAAGAGGTTGCTCCATAGCAAGGCTGACGCCTTCCTTTCAAATGACTATTATGACTCCGATATAGCTTGGATGGAATTGGTTAGTTGTTGCTAAGTTTTTCTTTCCACGCTCAAGGTGCTTTCTCATTTTTAACATGAGAAAATTTTGAGAACACATTTACTATGATATGATTTAAAATAATACTCACGATAAGAGATCAAACATATGACTTCCTCTTGAGGCAGTTTGCTCAAAAAGTACTTATCTTGATGAGGGGACTACTTGTTTATAAAGCTAGTTTAATTGTTTATAAAAGGATTTATTTATTTTTGTTTTCAATGTAGACAGTAGCCACCGATTTTCTTGTATCCCTACAACTTTTTTTTTCTCTGCTTAATTTTGATGAACTCACTGGTTCTCTCTCTTTCATTGTTTGATTTTCCTGCTTTAGGATTCTATGTTGGATGTCACCATCGGTCCATACGAAACATATGAAGATTCATTGTTTGGGTACAAGGTAATAAATACTCGTATGAATACATGTATTTTTTTCCTTAATCCTTTTTATTCAGCATTAGATTGTTATTGACCCTTTTGGAAAGTGAATCAAATAGCTGGAAAAATATAGTAATTAAATATGGATTCTTCTTAAAGAATCCCTACAAATTAGTGTATCCCAAAAATTAGGAACATCCCAATAAATCAATAGTCTTTCTTATTTTTTTGTAATTTCCTAGTTTAAACATTGTAAACCTCTATTTAGTAGAGGTAATTATCTTATTAATGGATAAGAAGAATTTATCCTTTTGACGAGTTTAATATTCTTAAAAATTAGGCCACTCAAGAAAAAATAAGAAGGGAGATTATTCCTCATTCCATTGTGATTTAGGTGTGCATTGCCTGGTGACTCGATCTGTGTCTGGGGAGCACAACATAAATTGAGATAATTATTGATTTGAATGCATTGATTCAAAATATGGTATTTTGATGGTTATAAAGGGGTTTTTTAACGAGGCCTCCCTTTCTTATAAAAAAAATATTTCAAAATATTTACAATGTACACTTTTTTTTAATACATCAAAACAAGCTTTTCTTGAACTTGAAAGGTTTAATTTAGAGTTTGGGTGCAAATAGTATAACATGTAAATGGGTGGTGCTTGAAAGGTTCAAATTTGTGTAAAAGCAAAATGATTACGCCAAAAATGTAAAATTTTAGTAAAACCTTCCATTCTTGCAAAACACTCGACTGCTATTTTACTGAATAAGTTTGGATCAGAAGAAACCTATTTTCAGTACGTTTCATTTCCAAATAATAAAGATGATTAATACAATATTGTGAAGAATTTATATGAGTGTAACATGTGTGAGGTGTAATTAGGTACTCATGTCTCTTTAGTTTTTATGTGGTACTATATCTACTGTTTTGAAAAGGGTTGCTTTGTTCTTCTTTCTATCTTTTTTCCTTTAACGAAAACTAAATTCTGTGCACTGGGATCCAGTTGAGCCTTTATATTTTGGAATTATCTTCTCTCACTTGCCAGAAAAAAGTTACTTCCACTTTCACAAAATTTTGATTAATTAGTTGATTCCACACACTACACATCTTTTCGCTGAGTATAAAAATCACGAAAACATTGGAAGACAGAATCTGTGTCTTGAAGAGTGTGCAATGGAAAACTGGCTTGCTGTTGGCTTAGAGAACAAAAAAGTAGAAACAAGAAAGTGAAGTAATTCTGATTTGTAGGCATGTTTGTCTCTGTAGCATGGTTGAATCCTTCCTAAAGTAAAAGTCATTAATTTTAGTTTATATGCATACAAATTAAATATTAAGTATCATGATCTGCATTGGCATTAAGATTATAGGTTTCAATTCCTTAAAAGTTGTATTATAAAAACAAAATCTTGTTGAAAGTGAGCAGCTTTTAACACGGTGTAAGATGATGAGTAAAGCATGATTCGAGATGTCATTTTTTTCATGATGTTATTTATCTATTAGCATTATTTGTTAGTAGGTTGCTAGAATTGTTTGCTTTGAAAGTTTTATCAATGGTCAAATTCTATCTATTGTAGTTTGTTAGTTAAATGAATAGTGGGTAATCTGAGTGCAACCAGTGGTGAATGTAAAAGCTTACAGTACAAAGTTTCACCTTTTCTAGAAAAAGAATAATTATAAGATGGATATACTAATACAAATGATCATGCAAAAGTCACTACTCCTTTAATACAGGGTTACCTAGAACCAACGATTTCCATTTCTAGTTTCTACACATGGCTCAATCACCCCCTTATGACCAAAACTGTGTAGCTTAAAGTGTTAAAACTTTAATTTTTAAGTTAATCATTTTATATAAATGTGTCTTATAGGTAGTTTCTTTGTGCTAGTATCGGTGGTTTGGAGCATTTGGAATAAATTCATTAGGTTCTGGAACATTCAATCTGTCTTACATGTTGATGCAAAAATATTTCTCCTAGCATGGGCTGATTTGAAGATTAATTCAACCATATGGTCATTTATTCCAGGGGTTGTCCTATGGACAATTTGGAAATTCAGAAATTATATTGTATTTGAAGGAGGGAAGGTAGATCAAGCAGAACTCTTCTTTTTAGCTAGATTCAGGTGTAGATGCTTAATTTGTCTGGGAAGTTTAAAAACCAGAAAAAACGTGGGCCGTTAGCAATAGAGAGATATTTTGAGCATTCAAGAAAACCGTAAAAGATCGGTTTATGTTTAGCAATTAACCACCAAGAACGTGGGGCACAGACAGGAAACTAAAGGAGGTGGGAAAACCAGAAAACCAACACAAAAAGGGACCGACAGATAGAAAACAAGGAGGCCCTTCGAAACAGAGATCATCAACAACAGGGGAGGAAAACATTGGTAAAGGAGGGTATTCGAGAATATCAAATAACAAAAAAGAAGATTTGTAAAGGTTTTTTTTTAGACCTTTACCTTGTTTCCGATAAACCAAAGCAATCAATGTAAGGGTTCCTACCCATTTTTCGGAAAGAAAACAACAAGGAAATATCCAATTTTCAGAAGGTATTCTGTTTCTTTTTTTTATATTCAAATTGTTTTGTATGTACATTTATGTGAGTAAATAGAATAGAAATAGAGAGATAAGGAAGCATTTACCTTAGAAGAAGAGAGTAGATCGAAGAGTTGAGGGACTGTTGGAGGTTGTTTGTCTTGCTCAATCGTCGTTGGTGTTCGGGGTTTTGAGTTTAAAGGCTTGTTTTTGTGTGGTGGTCTAGTTTATTTTAGGTTTTGGTCTTACAGTGAGGTCGGTTTTGATCACCGGCTTGCGGTGGCCGGTTGAGGTTGTGAGACCCTTGGAAGCTCTGTTGGGGTCTCGACAGTGAGTGAAGAAGAAGAAGGGGAGAGCGGCTGAGGTCTTTGGAGGAGATGATGAGAATGATTTAGGTTAGAAATTTTACCCTAAAATCACATATATCAAAACGCCCAAACGGCGTCGTTTAGCCAGGTCCAAAACGGCGGCGTTTCATCAGGCTGGAACTTTCTATGTTCTAGGATAGTGGGTTAATTGCGTGATAGGTCATTCCGTTTTCGATCTGTTTCTTTATAGTCCTTAAATTGAATTTTATTGGGTTTTTGATTTCGTATCTTAATTTTAAACGTTCATATCTTAGCCCAGAAACATATTAGGGCCATTTTTGCACTGTTTTTACATTGGTTGTGTAATTTACGGAACTTTCATTTTGGTCCTTGAACGAATCTTTTGTGCCTTCTTAATTTGGTCTTCATATTTATGAACACTTTTCATGTTAGTCTTGAAATGTTTTTATGTTTTGTTTTATTTTTTTTAAAATGTAATTTGTAATTTTGGTTGTTTGACAATTTAGACACTTAGCATGTTTTTTTAATTTAATAGTTAATTCCTACTTTGCATGCTTAGTTTAAGTTTGTTTTATTCTAATGTATGCCAATGTCGTTGTATGCATGTATATACCATATCACCATACTTTATTTTAGACTTAGGTGTTCATTTGAATATAGGATACTATTTAATTAGTTTTTACATGATATTATTTTGCATAATATGCATGATAGCCTCACGTGCATTACTCGACCGTATTCATAATTGGACTAAGGGTAATATCCTTTCAGTTTAAAATTGTTGAAGTGGGCAGTCATAACTGATTTGAGGTCCCCTTTTAATAGTTTTAAAATGAAAGTATATCCCGAAAGTGAAACCAAAAAATTGATTCGTCACCTAAAATTTGGGAACGAGAGAAAAAGAAATGTTCGTTTATTTAAATATATCGAGAAAAGGTTGTTATAACTTTTAAGATCTGGTCTCGATATTTGTAAATAATCGAACATTCTTTATCTTTCTAAAACGATTCGGTAAATTTAATTTAATTTATTTGAATGCTTTTGAATGTTTTAAATTTAAATTTTTATTTTATGGGATCAAAAATCAAAGTAAATTCGAATTTGTAAAGTTCATTGCAAAGACATTAATTAATCAATTAGGTACCGTTTTAGGGCGTTGTGGGGGTGCTAATCCTTCCCTGCACGTAACCGACTCCCGAACTTAGATTTTGGTAACGCAGACCTTAATTTGTTGTTTTAATTAAAATTAATTTTTATTTAAAATAACAAAACATTTTTGGGTGCCCAATCACACCCTAATCAAAGATTGGTGGCGACTCTTCGAACCGTATTTTTCGATCGTAAAGGAAATTTAAAATTTTTCGAAACGAGAGGTCTTTTAAACCGCATTTGTTTTTAAATTAAAAAGAGATAATTAAGAATTAATGTGGTTTTTTTAATCTCACTTTTTTCACATTTTAGAAAAAAATCGTTTCGACATCAGGCTAGCTTCATGTTACTTAGCCAAGTACAAACAGGTTTTGATCTCTAAGGATTTGCTTATTTCAGATCCTTCCTTAGGGGATTCTTGTTCTCCTAACTCCAAACTGATTGCAACTGTGATTAATTGGTCCCCTCCCCCAAAGGGCTTCATCAAATTAAATGTCGATGCTGCTACTACTACTGACTGGAAGAGAAGTGGGATAGGTGGTGTTTTGAGAGATGATAACGGGACAATCATTGACTCTTACAAGGAATCCGCAGGTCCTGGTCCTACTTTGATGGAATTGAAATCTATCCTAAAGGGCTTATCTTTCTTTCACACTATACGACACAGATTCAAGGATCGGTTGATCATTGAGAATGACTGCAGGGGTGGCAGTTGACTGGGTTAGGGATTTCGTTTCATGTCCTGTTGTTTATGCTTACATTGTTAAAGATATTATTGAAAAACTTAGACTGTGTGAAGGTGTTATTAGATGGGTTAATAGGACAGCTAATCTAGAGGCAGACGCTCTAGCTAAGGCTGGAATTGGTTAATATTTATGTTGTTTTAAGGTTGTAACTATTTAGGTTGTCGATCTCCTTCAAGGAGTTTTAGGTTTTTGTAATCTATTGCATTAAGTTTATTATTAATAAAATCCAAGGCACTCTTTTCCTCCTTCCGCTGATTAAGGAACTTTTTCAGAGTTCCATTAATCATGAAGGGGGTTTTTAATGAGGCCTAATATTCCTATCAAAAAAAAAAAAATACACTCGTGCTTGGTTTTGTTTGTTAGTCTATTATACGCTTTGTTTGCTTCTTATTCCTTTTCATTTTTAATTTATGTCAATGTCCTTCCTTTTTCTGTCCTTTATTGACTTACTCTAGCAAATCGTGAAGAGTTTGAGTGCTTCTGTGTACTCTTGCTCTCATCCATGCTTACGTCTACGTTCTCTTAACAAAGGTTGAAATCCATTTGTAACCTGGTATAGTTGTTTTTAGTTTCTGTGGATGTTATATGTTGCTCATTAGATTCACGAATTGCTTAGGCTACATTCGAAGCATTTATTGGAGTTCGGGATGAAAAAGCAACTGCTCAACTTAAATTGTTTGGTGATAACTTGCAGGTAATGTCATTCATATCCTAAGTTCACACATTTCTTCTGGTAACTTGCTAATTTCTATCTAAATATTCAATATTTTAGGTTTTGGAACAAAATCTTCCTATGGATGATGCATATAAATCAAAGGATATTATCGCAGCTCCAATTCGTGTTGTCCAACTTCTTTTCAATTCAGGGGTAAGTTTTGGGGAGCATTGAGAAAAATCTTTTATGATAATCAGATGGTTTTGTTGGCAGTAATGTGCATGTTCACACGCAAGCATGCAAACGTTTGATGCATGCATTTTGTAACTAATCTTTTAATGATTGCGTAATGCTTGAATACTTTCTTCAAATTATTAATGGTTTATATGCTTGTTCTTCTCCAACCCTTCAATTTTTAATTTTTCATTTGTATATTTACTAAATAGTTAACAAGACTGTTTAGAATAAATACAATAAGAGAGTAAATGAAGTTCAAATGTGATTAGACATGCTCGTGTGTTCTGGGTGGGATCATTTACCAGTTTACTGACTCAAAACTGGATTTCAGGAATGGAAATGAAAAGAATGAAACTCAACAAGCTACTCATGCTCCCTGAATTCACCTTTTTGGACAAAATTTTGGCACATAATGAGTAGAAAAAGAATTGCTGCTGTTGCCTGCTAGTACTAATACTATTGTGTAGTTATGGCTGCAAATATGGATGGTCAAAATATTTGAACCAACCCGACCCTATAGGTTTTTTTTTTGAAATTTCGGGGTTTGGGCGGGGCGGGGCGGGGCGGGGCCGGGTTTAAGGTGAAAAATCACCGACCCGACCCGGTTATATATATATGTTTAAGATTTTAAAGATTTTTATTTTTATATATAAGATATATTTTTTAATTAATAAAATATAATAAATCATTATAAATATATTATTTTAATAATTTTAAAAATAATAAATGATTATAAATATATTATTATAAAATATATTATTTTAATTATTTTTTTTTTGATAGGAATAGAAGGCCTCGTTAAAAACCCCCTTCTTGATTAAAGGAACTTGGTGGTAAGCTCCTTAATCAGCGGAAGGAGGAAAAGAGTGCCTTAAAAACTTTATTGATAATATAATCTTACATAAGATTTAAACACTACACCACAATACATCCCATAAAACTTAACAACAATTTTCTAATAGACCTTCTCGCTGGACCAGAAAATCCAGTGACAGGTCCTTACAGTCAACCTATCCCTTTCTTAGCTAAGCTATCAGCCTCCCCATTGCTCGCTCTTGGAATCCACCTCACTGAATGAACCTTGCCATTTGAAAGAGTCAAAATCTGATTAACCAAAGACAAGTAGAAAACAGGAGCCAAAGCCGGTGATTTAATCCATTCCACTACCGACTTGCAATCACTCTCAACAATCAATCTCCCAACAGAAACCCAAACTGAAGCCAGAAAAATTTCAATACCCCTTTTAATAGCCTTTAATTCAGCTAGCGGAGGAGTAACTTGGTCTACTTTCTCTGAAAAAGTCAAAAGCGTGCAACACTCCGAATCTCTCAATATTTTAAAATATTGATATATTCGGGTTGGGTCGGGGTTGGGATTTTAGTCCAAAAATCGGGCCGGATTCAGGACGGGAGAAAAGCTAAGAATTATCGGGGCGGGGCGGGATCGGGTTTAGTAGATAATCCTTAAGTTAATTATAATTTTATTCCATAGACTGGAATGTATTGTCTGGAAAGCCAGGTGTTTGTATTTTTTGGTCATAATTAGTTTTAGTTTTCTCTAGAACCTCCATTCTTTTAGATGTAATAGTTTATCTCAGATAAATATATGTTTAACATATTGTATTTACATCAGGATGTGAAGGGCCCTCAGACTATTGCTTTTAATCTGCCAAATGATGAGCGTATAGTAAAAGATCGAGGAACAGCAATGGTTATCCTTAAGAATGTTTCTGAAGCAAAGTACGAAATTCTCTTCAATTTTCTTTAATTAATTGTTGAAGTTACTCCTATTTACTGAAATGTTGTGGCTTACATTTCCATTATTCTTAATCATTATTTAATTTTTCCATCCTAATTAGGTTCAAAGAGATTCTTCGTCCCATAGCTGATGCATGTGTTGCAAAGGAACAACATGAACTCGTTGATTTTGAGTCTTTCTTCACTCACACAATCTGCCATGAGTGCTGCCATGGGATTGGACCTCATACCATAATCCTTCCTGATGGCCGAAAGTCTACTGTTAGATTGGTTAGTTATATAATGTTTCCTTTTTATTTATGTTTTTTATTTATCCGTTTCTAGAATGTATGCCTAGCATTTTTGTTACAAACATAAATCCATGTACAAAACGGGGGGAAATCTAATAATTTAATCATGTATGGCCAATTATAATTAACTATCGACATACAACTCACTTATGCTGGTTTATCCATATATTCTACATGCCATTGTGATGAAAATGGTTAGAGAAAAGCTAAGCTTTGTTTATGACTTAGGTTTTATATTTTTCTAAACTTGAATAATGCCTACATACCTTGAGCATCTTCATGTAATATTTTTTACTGTGAGAAACAGTTGCTTAAATAGAACAGAAGGTTGAGGTTTGTATGATTTCAGGCAGGGGGTAAAAGAAAGAAAAAGAAGTAATTTAGGTATCCAATATTTATGATGGAGGAGCACCACTAGGGACAGATCTAACTCCGCCCACCCACCCCCTACCCCCCAAAAAAAGATCCTGGCTTTGTCACCATCAATAGATTTGAGGTACATTTATATGGATTTTCTTATTTGTGCAGGAGTCAGGGTTAAGTTTACAAGTGTTCTTTTTTTTCTTTTTCGTCAAATACAAGTGTTCTAAATTATCTATGTTTTCCACGGAGAAGATGTCTGCATAATCTGTGTATTGACATTGTCCTCTGAAGTTCAATGGAGTTTCCTGATGTTACTATTTTCCTTAAAAGAAGTGCCTTATTCTAATTAATTATGGCATCCCATGGTTTCCGTTTTACTGTTTCTTACAGGAGCTTCAAGATTTACACTCGGCTTTGGAAGAAGCAAAAGCTGACATAGTGGGCCTTTGGGCACTGAAATTTCTAATCAGAGGTTATTAAAAAGTCATGTTTTATTATTTTTATTTATATGATATCATTACTAGTGATCATCAAGCATGCCCATACATGTTAGCTGGTGCTGTTCGCAAGTTTTGATTTATTTTTTTATTCATTCCATTTGTTCTCTCTTTGGGATTGAAATTTTAATTCTTTGCTGCAATTTAGAATTGTTTTCAACTGCTTTAAGTTCTGCTGCTTCTTTTAAGAATTAAATGGTTTATTAAATCTAGCCAGAACCAAAAATGACTTCAGAATGATAATCTACCTAGATTCTAACCCCATTCCAAAAAGAGTATTGTAAGTTAACTCTAGGTTAGATGCTAAGCTTTAAGCGTAGAGGCGGTAAATCTGGAGTTCAGAAATTTGTGTAATTTTAAGGTTCTTTTGTATCGAAAAAGCTGCTTTCATATTTTTTGAGTCTAACAATTCATTGAAACCGGACCATTTGTATCCCATGTCAACAAAGTTTTTGGTTACATTTCGTTATGCTTCCACGGGAATTTAATTGCTGCTATGTCTCTAATCTAAGTACAGAATTGGATGACTGCTCCCTGCTCCCTCCAAAAATTGACATGCAAAGTTGAAAGAATGTTTACAAATCACTCTGAGAATTAATTATAGATTTTTTTTTGTTATTAATTTGTTTGTTTGGTACTTAAGATTGCCAGGATTGAACCTGGTTCACTAGAAGTGACTAAGAATCTAACAGTCTACCAAATGAGGATGTAGTAGTTGGCTATTTTTAAAAAAAATCAGCCATTGTGAGATTTTTAACTTCAACATCCCGTCCACATGTGTCTTGTTTCTGTAAGAAAATAACAGAACTTAACAAAAGTGATCATCAATTCGATTAGATATGATTGTTTCAATAAATTTGTTCTGTCTGAGGACTGCAATTAGTGGAAATCACCACATAGGAAGAATTGAACATTAATATTAAAGCATATGACTTGGCTGTCAAGTATCGTTTCCTTTCTCTGAAACTCTAACGTTCTTTCCTAGAATTGTCTGGTTTTCAGTTAACACCTCTATTGAGAGAATCTTAAAGAGTGAAAGAGTTTGTATAGAAGAGGAGTTTGTTTTGACCATTCTTCAAATTTAATACCTTGCTACTAGTCCCACCACTGACAAATCCTCAGCATGCATTTAACTTCTTCATGTCCTTGCAGTGTTCTAAGTCTTTAGGCTGGAAGCGGACTTACCAACCAAGTTTTTAGTAATATAGTGCTATTAGTTATCTGTTTGAGGGGTATTCTCAATCAGGCTTAGATCTCAATCGCCCGATAAAGGACATGGAATCAACTTCAAACTTGAACCTTAAATTATCAAAGAGGAATCTGGAAGAGAAGATTGCCTGCATATTCCATATTGTATGACGAACTAGATAAGAAGTTTTGCATTAGTTATGTACTTTTTCTTTGTTCATGCATTGGTTGTCAATCTTGATATTTTGTGCATTTATGAAATGTTATAACGAACTGCGAAAAACTGACATATTTAGTTTCTCTCTGTTATTTTTTTACATCTTCGGGCAGCATTTACTTCCAAATAATCTGGAAAAATCCATGTATGTTTCCTTCCTTGCGGGATGCTTTCGCTCTGTTCGGTTTGGCTTGGAGGAAGCTCATGGGTAAGTGGACCATTAATTATTCCCTGGAAAAATATTTTTAATTATTGTTACTTACCATTCTTGATTTGCTGAATAATTTCAGAAAAGGTCAAGCATTACAATTTAACTGGTTATTGGAAAAGGAAGCCTTTGTTTTTCATCCCGATGAGACATTTTCTGTTAATTTTGATAAGGTACAACACATTCGGATTTTCACATTCATAAATATTTTTAATTAAACAGTTCCTCCTAAACCAGTCCTTTCTTTTGTAAGATTGACGAAGCAGTTGAAAGCTTGAGTACGGCTATACTCACCATACAGGCTAAGGGTGACAAAGAAGGTGCAAGTTTGCTTCTGCAGAAATACTGCATCATGACACAGCCATTGAAAGTTGCATTGCGAAAGTTGGAATCCATTAATGTATGTTCCTGCAACATTCTAGTATACTTTTATTGATAAAATACTTTCCACTGGTTACCTACTAATTTATTTCAGTATTAAGTATTCTAAGTATATTTTTGGGGATAAAAGGGATTAGATTCTATGTTAGTTGGAGTGTGTGTGTTAGATACAAGTGTGACAATGGTATGATCAATTTTGTTCAAGATTTGCACGTGTTTGGAGGGTTTTGGAGGAATAATTTTCATACTTGGATACTACAAGACATAGGATATGATTAGTTCCTAGATGCGCATTGTTACTGAGCTAGATTTATAAATAGGAAGCTGCATGACAAGAAAACTACATGCCCAGATTATACCCTCTAGAGGGCTTTGCTCTTAAATGGAAAATATGTAAAAAGAAAACATATTTTTCACACAAGTAACAATTTTTGAAGGTAGATGATGTTGCGGTATGATTCTGTGAATAGACGATAATGATATAAATATTGGATTGAAGTGCATGTTTCAAGTATTTTTGCTTATATTCTTTTGCTTCCATTTGTTTCTCAGGTGCCCGTCGATATAGCTCCCACATTTCCTGTAGCTAAAAGCTTGTTGGAATGAAGAATGCTGTTATGTGGTTTGGACAGATAACAATGCTGCTTATAATTTACAAATTATGGGATCACCCGGTGGAGTTTGGAGTGCTTGTCTAACGAAATGTCCCATTCGCTAAGATTTACTAAATTTACTTGATGTCCAACTAAAGTGACAAAGCAATCCCCTTGGGCTGAAAATCTACTCGTTTACCAAGCATAATGGGATGAATGGATGAAAAAACAGACATGCTAATCCCTCTATATATCATTTCCCCCACTGACTAAAATTCCGTTTTCACTTTTGCTAAGTTCATAATCAAGTAATTCGAACAAGGAGTTGGGTTACATAAAACAATTTCCTTGAACTTAACTTCCTCGGGCATTTCTGTTATGCAGGTAGACTTGTAGGAGCAAAGGGAAGTTTCTTAATGAACTTGCCAATATATCCCTCATGGCATACATGAGATCATTTTTGATTCTTCTACATTTGGTTTCAACTTATCATCGTCATTCTTTACGTCAAGACAAGGCTGCACTTCTGGCATTCAAGAAATCCATATTTGATCCGGCATCCGTACTTGCCAACTGGAAAGATGATGTCTATGTTTGCAACTTCACTGGTATTGTATGTAACAGACATCATCGTGTGATGGAAATTGACTTGTATAGCTCCAGTTCTTTCAAGCCTAGCCCACCTTCAACTTCTAAAGCTTGATGAAAACCAGTTCTACGACACTGTCCCCTCGCAACTTTCCTCCCTCCGACACCTCAATGCGTATATTATTATGAGCTACAACTTGACAGGTACCCTTTCTCTAACTGCACTAACTTAAAGACCATAGATGCCTCTCTCAACTACGTCACAGGTAAAATTCCAACGCAAATTGGAGATTATCCAAGGTTATGGTACTTTAATTTGTACCATAATCTTTTTAGCGGCGGAGTTCCTGTCTCCTTAACCAATACTACCAATCTGTCTAGCCTAAATGTGGGCTGCAATCCTTTATCTGGTGACTGCCTTCAGACTTGGGACGTAATCGGCCTAAACTTAAAAATCTCTCTATCATATAACAACATGAAAAATCATGGGACCAACATCAATCTCTATCCATCCCCCCTCTCTACCTTCTTCCCTTACTCTCTCTATACCTCCCTTACCCTCTCACACTCTCCCTCTCCTCCCTCTCTCTCCTTCTGCCCCTCCCTCTCCCCCTTCCTCCCTATCTCCCTCTCTCTTTTTCTCTCTCTCTACCCCTCTCTCTCTACCTCTCTCTCTCACTCTCTCCTCCCTCTCCCCCTCCCTCCCTCCTCCCCTCCCTCCCCATCCAATCCTCTCTCCTTTCCCCTCTCTATCTCCCCCTCTCAGATTCTAGTAACCAGTTTTGTTATCAGTACTGCAGGTGAGTATCGATACTCAAGGGTTCGTATCGATACTAAAGGGCCTAGTATTAGTACCCTCATCTTGAATTGGGTAAGAAACTCATTTTAATTTAGGAGTTCCTCGAAGGAGATTATAAGTGATAACAATTAATGAATACAACTAGAAATAATATGAATTAAGGTGATAAAAAACTAACCATTGTGTGATGCTCGGGAAACAGTCAGGACACTCGAGTTACTTTAGTAGTATGACAATTGTCTTGTATGTTTAAAATGTCCGGACATGTCTCAATTAGTCCATAAGGCACTTCAGCTACTAGCCAGGCATATATGCCCCATGTACTCACAAGGAGTAGGCCGATTGGATGTACGTTTTTATGTAGAAATTTCGGATAATAACTCCTCATTTCCTTGTTAGTTTTAGAAAATCTATGGAGGATAGTGCAACTCTTAGTCATGAGGGTAGAGATGAGAGTTGCGCCTTCCTAGCGGGTGATGCCAGTGACAAGTTAGTCCCAGACTTAGAGTATGAGATTATGGGAGATGCAAAGGTCGATGAGGTGACCTTCTTTAGGAACCTGACGACAACATTGAGACATATTATTAGAGCCATCCTTAGGATGCCAATTGTACCGCCTAGGGTGGCTTCACGTCAATATGCAGTTAGAGCTCAAGAGTGTGACGTTGTAGATGCGATCTCAGTTACTTTTATAGTGTTTTTTTATTCTAGTTACAACATTAGTAGATCAAGGGTCCACACACTCCTATGTCTGTTATGATCTAGTTGGGAAAGAAATATACCAATTGAGGACTTAAAGGTAGGAGTCTAAATGTCTAGTCCTTTAGGATTAAACATCCTTGTTGATAAGGTTCATCGTCGATGTATAGTAGAGATCCAAGGTCATATCTTTCCTGCCAACTTGATGGAGCTACCATTCAGAGAATTTGACGTGATCTTGAGAATGGATTGGTTGTCTAGGCACGACGACAGCTTGAGATGTAAGGCCAGACGACTTAAGCTCAGAGGGGTTGATGGTACTAAGGTAGTGACGACTAACGATAAGTCGGGTTGTGAGTCAGCGATTGATTCTACCTTAAAATCTTGTCAGATGATCGAAGGAGGTTTTGAAGCCTTCTTGGCTCATGTGGTTGACACTTGAATTCCAATTTCAACACTCAAGGACATTTGGGTCGTACGAGACTTCTCTGATTTTTTTCCCAAGGAGTTGTCGAGATTGCCTCTTGACCGAGAGTTGGAGTTTGGTATTGAAGTTTTTCTGGGTATCATTCCAGTGTCAATTTCTCCCTACTGCATTGCATCGACAAAATTAAGAGAGTTAAAAGACTAAATTCAAGAGTTTCTAGTGAAGAGTTTCATCCAACCGAGCATTTCTCCATGGGGAGCACCAGCTCTCTTTGTTAAGAAGAAGGATTGGTCGATGAGGTTGTGCATCGACTACTGACAGCTGAACAAGTTAACCATTAAGAATCGCTACCAACTCCCTACAATCGATGACTCTTCTACCAACTTAAGGGAGCATGTGTGTTCTCTAAGATCGATCTGAGGTTAGAGTACTATCAGTTGAAGGTCAAGGACGTCAATGTAGCGAAGACGACCTTTAAGACGAGGTATGGTTACTATAAATTCTTGGTAATGCCGTTTGGACCCACCAACACCCCAACGACTTTCTAGGATTTGATGAATCGAGTTTTCCACTAGTATCTTGATTAGTTCATGATGGTCTTCATAGATGATGTCCTCGTGTACTTGCGATCAAAGAAAAAAACATGATCAGCACCTCCGTATTGTTCCGCAGTTATGTGATTTTCTAATGAACTATCAATCAATGTTTTGTTTTGCATGCTGGCCAAGTTCTTCTAGTTTTGGACCGATAATCCGATCGGTTCGAACTTCCATTAAATTATGTACAAATTACATATACAAGACTTAACCTATGGGGAACAACACATTAGATTTCCCCCTAGGGAACAAAGATTCATGAACAAGATTTGATGAGTTTGAAGCTATGGAAACTCGGTCTTTTAAGCAGGTTCCCAAACAGGAAGCTTCTGGTTGTCTATTTAGGGAGTTTGGGGCACAAAAGGGAGTTCCCTTAAACCTTGAGACAGCCTTGTCCTATCTCATTTTGGATCAAGTCCACATTTTTGGGGTCAACACTGTTCCCTCCCACATCGGTCAGAAAGAAATTGTGTTTTGCTTTCCCACCATTGCTGCTGCATATTTCAGCTCTTTTGATGCACAATCCATTCTCACGAAATATTCTTGTGATGTCTGAAAGAAGCCCCAATCGATCATCTGTTACCACTTCCAATTCCAGTCCCCGTTGAACAACAAAACACACATGGTTTCAATGAAAGTTTTTCTGGGTCAAATTATGGTTTTCGTCCTCGAACATAGTACAAGCACTAAATCTGTAATTTGACCAAAGTTGTTTTTGGCAGGTTTGATGGTAAGGATGAACAAAACTCGACTCGAAAATTTGATTGTTTCCTCTCGACTCAACTTGCAAAAACTCTACTTGAATTGATTTGAAGTTTAAATTGAATTATAAAACATAACTCGAAATTTTTAGTGATTAGTGGACTGATTTTCAAGTTTGAGTCGAGGCTTTCGACGCTTAATGATATGTATATCACATATGAAAAAAATATATATGAAGAAACATATACGTATTGTATATAGTTTAAAAAATCATTTAAATTGAAATCAAATAGTATCGTAATATTATAAATATTTTTAATTTAATTTCGGGTAAACTACACATTTAGTACCCACACTATCAATTTTGGTTTGTTTTAGTACTTAAACTTTCAATTTTTTCAAACCATACCTAATATTTAGTTTTTGTTTCATTTTAATATCCCAAATTATTTAATGCGTTTAATACTTAAACTATCAATTTTGGTCCACTTTAATACCTAAACTTTCAATTTTTTTCGAAACTTGATGTTAAATTTTGAATATGGATACTAAAATGAAACAAAAACTAAACTATAGGCATGGTTTTCCAAAATTAATAGTTTAGGTATTAAAATAGACCAAAATTAATAGTTTAGGTACTAAACGTGTAATTTACTCATAAAGTTAAACAGAAACTCGAGAACTCGACTCAAGAAAAATTTCAAATCAAGTTTGAGTTATGAAATAAAACTCATCAACCTGAATAACTCGAAAAGTTTTGACTCGACTTGATCAAACGATAGCCCCTAACGTCTTTGGTTCTCCTTTCAATGGCGGCTTCAAGACACTCCATGACTCTTTGTTGTTCAGCCTCTGAGCTTATAGGGAATCCATCAACATGTCTGAGATAATATTCCTACAAAAAGAAAATTAAATTACAACGAAAATCCCACTTTTTATTTATCTAAAATATTTGGAAACCTTTTATCTTATCTGAATGTGATTTTCCAAACCTGATAAGCTTCCTTTCTCCCTGTAATAACTGTTCCATGGAACACAACATATTCCATGTCCGTTGAACAGCAAACAGTGTCGAACAACAGCTTCGGTCGATCCAAGCACCTTATCGTCACGACTGTGTAATCCCGATCGCTTTATTCCAACACTGTAACATGGGGTCGCTCCGAGGTTTCGAATTCGACATTGTTTGGCCTCTCGAAAACTCTACCGGCAAACAAGATTTGGTGCAACCTTCGGCCTCGATAAGTCTCCCCTGG